TCCCTACAACAGACCCTCCTCCGGCTTTTCCCCGCAGCAGGCCCTCCCCCAGAGCTTTTCCTCGCAGCAGTCCTTCCTCTGAAGTTTTATCTTGCAGCAGTAGTCCCTCCTCCATAGTTTTTCCCTTGCAGAGCATGCCCTGCAGCTTTTCCTGTAGGTTTTATACTTCCCTGCAAACTTTCATGCAACATTAATTGTAGGAATCTTCCGCCTACCTACAAACACTGCAGAAACTACAGTCACGACAACTGCAATCAACTAAAAAAACCTCCAAATGCTCTTAAGTTTGATTAAGAAGTATGTGATAACAACTTCAAGTTCTACCTCCAAAGAATCTTCCTCGTCCATTGTTTGAAATTTTTAAAACATGATTGTTAACTATGTTTCAACTTAAGGGGGAGTGTTAGAAGTTGTTTTAGGAAATAATTTATTCTCGTTAAAGTTATAAGGATTAGATTTATTTTTTTAGAATTATTTATTTATTTTCCTATTTTAGATTTATTTCTTTTGATTGGATTTATTTCCTTTCATATTTCAACCTTTTCTATTTTATGTTATTTCATTTATCTTCAAGTAATTATTATGAATATATTAATTGAAGATATAGGCGCAATATCTTTCCTTTCATGTCATTTCTTTTTTCTTGTCTTTCCTATTTTACGATCATGCAAAAGTATTTATACCCCATTTTCATTTTAATAAAATAATTTTGTTGAATTTTAAAAATCAACAACTACTATAGATGCCAGATGACATCATGTGGGTTAATAATTTGCGCATATGATTTATTCAATTGTTTCTTTATTTAAATTTGTAAAATTATTTATTAAAATTTTTATATGAAAATTTTAGATACTCGTTTGAATTTTTAGCTCGTTTAACTACTCGCTCACTTTTCAAAAACAAATCAAGTATAAATCAAATTCAAGTATTCAATAATTTAAACAAATCAAGCTTGTACAACATTTTAAAGCTCAGCAGAAGTTCACGCCAAATATGAACTAATAATTGTATCAAGCCAAGTCCAATATATGTTATACTCAGCTTAATTACAAGCCTAACCCCCCCACC